CCCCCCCCCCCATATCCCCCCCGTCCGGACAGGGAAGGAGCTCGACTCAACTACGAGGTTTTTTGTTTCCTTGTTCCTCCATTTCCTTGGGACTGACGGCGACGACGACGACGACGACGACGACGACGACGACGACGATAACGATAACGACGTCGACGACGACGACGACGACGACGACGACGTCAGCGCCTCTCACACGCCAGAGGGTCGGCGGATTCGGACCCCGTCTGGGAGGCCTCGTACTGCAGCGGCGGACCAGGACAAGCGGGGGCGTCCCCGCGCGACGCGGTCGGGGGGCGGCGCCACCCGCGCTGCCGTGCCCGAGGCGCACCTGCACCGCGAGGCCCGGCCTGTGAGGGGCGTGGCTCCCTCGGGGCGCAAGAGGCGAGGGTCAAATGCATAAAACGACGCGAAGCTCGGGACAGAATCGGATCGGGGTAACTCGAAATCTCTGAGGATCGGCGGGTTTGGAGGATGTATTGGGCGCCGCGGCCGCTCCAGAGCGTTCCGGAACGCTCTGAGAGCGCTCCGGAACGCTCTGGAGCGATTTATCCCGATCCTAGCCCTGTTTTAATGCAAACGGGGGTCAGCCAGGGCACCAGCTCCTGCAGGATGTTGCGAAGACCCCCTCTGGCCGACCCGGGTTGGCGAGCCGCTCGTGGCCACGAGGCGGCCGCGCATGTTGGCTGACCCGGGTTTGCGAAACCCTGCGTTGCAGTTTTGTTTTCCTGCATTGCATTTTTTTGGTTTCCTGCTGACCCGGGTCTGAGTCACCGGGGCTAGTAGGTCCCCGACTCCCTCCTGAAGGATTCCTCCCAGGGCGCGAGCTGAACAGTGCTTTGGCGATTTCGACGGCCGGTTTTCGTGCTGATTCCGTTTTGCAGCAACGATGGATGGCTCTCAGGGCGTGTGTTGGCTCAACTGTATGTTTACCCCGTTCGGCTCCGCCACTAGCGCACAGCCTGTGTCGGCCCGTGCTTACGCCTCCCGAGTCGTACTGTATGGGGTTGGCCAACAGCCGTCGGCGCTATGTAACACACGTTCTGAGGATCATCGGGGTAAGGCGGAGCGCAGAGAGAGCGAGAGACAACGAGACATCAAATCACGACGACGGAACACACTCTTTAGCTGGCGCCCTGCTTCCTCCCTTCTTTCTCCGTCCGCCACCCCGTCCGCCCCGGGTATCCGACGGCTCGGCCTCTGCAGTGCAGGTGCCCCAGAAGTCCCGACCCCTTCCCCAGGGCCGACTTCTCGCCCCGAGCCGCTTCTGTGTCCCCGTCGAGAGGCCGAAGGAGCCCGCGAGAACCTCTCGCCGTGACTCTTGTGACGGTGCGAGGATGTCAGGGTCTCCCCCCCCTCCCCTGCACCCTTCGAGGCCCTCTTATGGCGTGGCGCAACCTGGTCCTCGGGGAAGCGGCGGGTCCTGGACCCAGGGGGCCTGCCTCGGGGCCGACTTCTCGTCATGAGCTGTTTTTTGATAGCCCACGGGCCCCAGGAGGCCAAACACGTGGGATGGGGGAGGGGGCGTGCCGAACTAAAAAGGGTCGGGGCGGAGGGGCGCGCTGGCTGGCGGGTTGGGGGGATGCGGAGGGGGCGCGTGGGATGGGGGGGGCGGGCGGGCCGAAATAAATGTATCGGGGCGGAGGGGGCGCGCTGGCTGGTGGGCGGGGGGATGGGGCGGGAGAGATGGGGGCGCGCTGGGAGCGCGCTGACTGGTGGAATTGGTGAGTGATGGGGGGGGTGCTGTGCCGAAATGAAATTGTCTGGTTGGAGCTCTAGACACCCTGTGCAAGAGAATCAATGAACAAACGACGGAATAAAAAAATGCATAAGGATAGGTGTTTTGCATAACGCGCCCCGTCTCGCACGCCGGCCTAATAGCCGTTCGGTTGCCCCGAAATGCCACACGCTGGAGCGGACTGCCTCTTCCTCGCCGCCGACGGAACAAGTGTTGCATTTGTGGTCGCCAGACATCTGGACACCTTCCCCATGGCCATGTCTGCATGTTGCGTCATGTCTTGGCTGCCCTGGGACCCGGTCGCGGCGATGGCCAGTTGAGGCCGTCAACGGTGAAACATTGCCCAGATTCCGTACGGCATTCTTAACTACTAGCGCTTCGCCAGAGGGCTCTAAATGTGGTAGTCACCACAGAAGAGTCCCACAGGGGGGACAGGGAGCCCTAGACCGCTTGGTCTGGCAGCGGTTTCGCTCGAGATGTCACGCATGTGTTTCAAGAATCGCACTTTCGATCCAATGCTAGCTGCGTCTCTGTTCCAGACGGCCACGGCCCTTTTGCAAAACTTGCGCTGAGGAGGAGGAGGAGGAGGAGGAGGAGGAGGAGGAGGAGGGGCTCACATCTGCTGCTGTTCGGGTGCTTTGCTGGGGTGCTTCAATGCGTTGGAGGTCTGGGTCCGCCTCAGAAGCTCGATCCCCATCCCCATCCCCATCTCGATCCGCACCGCCCCGGTTGGAGACATGCCCCTCGAAGCTCTCAGGGAACGGCCTATATGTCCCGATCTGGGGGGGAAGTCGGCCAGTGGGGCGCAGGCCACGCCCGTGGGGCTGGGGTTAAGTCGGGCCTGCCCTTCTACAGGAAGAAAATTCAAAAACAGCCAAACCAAAATAGTTCTGGGACGATTTGGGGAGCATGTCTGGACGATGTTTGAACATTTTTGAGGGGTTTTCATTCTTCGTCCAAAATCCGCCTGTAGTCGGCGTCGCCCCAACATACTTATACTATATGTTCGTCGCCCCCCTGGGGCGACGCGCGCACTGAGAAATCTTATAGTATATGTGTCGCGGCGGGCGCTTTCTGGCCACACCGCTCAGACAAGGATGTACTACAAGATGGGTATACTATATGTTCAGGTCGGACGCGCGCCGCCAAGGAGAACATATAGCACCAGTATGTCTTTTTGCGTCCCACGTAGGGGGACACGCCCGACCTGGGGCTAGGGATCGGATAGTCACACGGGGCGCTCCGGGGAGTCGCCCCTGGATGCCTCTTTGAGAGCCCGCCGCCCCCTCGGGTGCAGCTCTCACGCGGGAGGCCAGACTCCGCATCGGCGCTGGCAGGAGGAGGAGCAGGAGGAGGAGGAGGAGGAGGAGGAGGAGGAGGAGGAGGAGGAGGAGGGAGGAAGAGGAGGAGGAGGAGGAGGAGGAGGAGGAGGAGGCGGAGGAGGAGGCGGAGGAGGCCCAATCCGGCCCAGCCCCGCTGGGTCCCGTTGAATCGCCTTATAGTTCGGGGAGGACGTAAGGCTCGAGTGCGCCGAAGCTCGGGTTTGCCGACGCTTTTTGGCGAGTGCGTCCTGGAGTTTGACGGTCCAGTTTTCGTGGGATGTCTGCAGCGGGAGCTCGCGTCAAATTTCAGACTGGGTCTCGTCAGTTTGATGAAAGCCCCGTCGGGCCAACCCGAGTCCCCCGAACCCGAGTATTACGTCTCCCCGTTTAGTAGCTGTTCAATCGTTCTGCAAGCGACCTCCCATGAGATGCTCAATCCCGCTTACTTCGGCTGCGCCTCATGCTGAATGCAGCGTAAGGACTCCTCCATCGGGCCCACGTCCCGTTTCATCCCTCGCCATGCCGTTTAGTATTGCTTAGACCTGGGATTAATCCAGCTTTGTGGCCCCCTTCCTACCACGACCTCCCAAGAGTTGCTCCCCCACCTCCCATCTCTTCTCGCACGGCGCAGGGCTTCTTTCCCTTCCTCTCTCGCGGCGAGATAAGAATTGAAGACGTTTCGAGCTGAATACTGGGCTTCATCTGGCCAAATCCAGCTTGCGGTCTCCTGATCGGCTTAGTTGCCCTTGACCGTTCTTACGAAGGCTGTCCAGTAGTTGCCTCCTGGACGCCTTAGCTGCCCTGGCACGCTCGTTTTGAAACGCAACACGTACCGCGTTCAACACGTCCGTGTTAACACACTGCGTGTTGGTTCGGCGAGTGTTGGTCCACGTTTTGGCGAAGACATCGTGCCAGACCCACGTGTTCAGTCTATACTTGGAGCTCCGTCAACGCGCTGCGTGTTGTGTTTTCGCGCTTCGGGGCAGCTAATCAGCGGCGAGCGAAGGGGGAAGTGAGACGTACAAGGCCTTCTCAGAAGGCGGCGGGACTTCTTAGATGCCCTCGCGCCTTCTGAGAGGTTTCTCGTGTCGCCGGGGAAGGCTTGGAACACTTTTCAGAAGGCCGGGGGACTTTCGAGCCTTCTGAGAAAGCCTTCTCCTTCTCATTTCCACCCCCTCGCTCGCCGCCAAGCTAGTCTCCTGGCCCCCCCACCCTCGAAGCCCTCTTCTTGGTGCCCCTCCAAGCCCCCCCCCGCGCCGCGCAGGGAGGCGGGAGGAGGCGGGAGGAGGAGGAGGAGGAGGAGGAGGAGGAGGAGGAGGAGGAGGGAGGAGGAGGAGGAGGAGGAGGAGGAGGAGGAGGAGGAGGAGGAGGAGGAGTAGGAGGAGGAGGGAGGAGGGAGGAGGAGGAGGGGTGGAGGAGGGAGGAGGAGGAGGAGGAGTGGGAGGAGGAAGGAAATGGAGGAGGGGAGCAGGGAGGAAGAGGAGGGGAGGAGGGGAGGAGGTGGAGGAGGGGAGGTGGAGGAGGAGGAGGAGGAGTGAGGAGGGAGGAGGGGACTAGGAGGAGGAGGTGGAGGAGGCAGGTGGAGGAGGAGGAGTAGGAGAGGAGGAGGAGAGGAGGAGCTGGAGGAGGGAGGAGGGAGGGAGGAGGTGGTAGGAGGGAGGAGGGAGGAGGGGAGGAGGGAGGAGGGAGGAGGGAGGAGGGTGGAGGAGGAGGGAGACTTAGGAGGAGGAGGAGGTGGAGGTGGTGGAGAGGAGGCGGAGGAGGAGGGAGAAGGGGAGGAGGAGGCCTAGGAGGTGTGGAAGGAAGGAGGAGGGCGAGGGAGGAGGAGGAGGAAGAGGGGAGGAGGAGGAGTGAGGAGGAGGACTAGGAGGAGGAGGAAAGGGAGAGAGGGAGGGGGGAGCGAGGAGAAAGAGGAGCCCCACCCCCCCCGCGCCGCGCAGGCTCGGCATCGGCGCCGATACCTGCAGGGCCGGCCTCGGCGCGACGGCCGATGACGCCGGCGGCGCTGCGGAGGGGCCGGCGGCGCCCACGAGGCCCCCGGGGGGAGGGCCTCCTCTTTCTCGCGCCTTCCTCCTCCGCCTCCTCCTCCTCCCCTCCCTTCTCCTCTCTGCTCTCCTCCTCCTACTTCCTACCTCTTTCCGCCTTCCGCCCTCCCTCCCTCCCTCCCCTCCCCTCCCTCCCTCCCTCCCTCCATCCCTCCCTCCTCCCTCCTGCCTCACCTCCCTCCCACTCCTCCTCCTCTCTTTTTTCCTCCGCGCTGCCATCCCTCCTCCTCTCCTTCTCCTCCTCTCCTCCTCCTCCGCCTCCCTTCCACTCTCCCCTATCATCCCTCCTCCTCCTTCCTCTCCTCCTCCTCCTGTCTCACTCCTCATCCGCCTCCTACCTCCCCGCCGTCGTCGGCAGGCCGCGCCGTGTTTGGCGTCGAACGAGGAGGACCTCCTCCTCCTCCTCCTCCTCCTCCGTAGCCATTTTGGCTCAAGATGCACAGTTCCCCAGAGGAACGAGTGGATACCGCTCGTCCGCGGCTGACAAGACCCCTTGTGGTCTGGCAGAAATTGTTCATCGCACCGACGCTTGCGCCCACGGGTAAACGGAGGCCTTTCCCGTTCCTGTGCGTGCGAACGTCTCAGTCGAGCTCATGGGGCCTGCTGCCTGCGATCGCCCTCATCCTCCTGTTCATCGCATGGACTCCGCGGCAGAAGCAGACACAGATGTTGCATCGATCAGTGGAGGCAGCTCCTCTGACGAACAGCGTCGCTCAGCGTCCCGCAGCGGTGGCAGCCGCGGTGCTCGTCGTGCTGCTCGCGCCCGCCACTCTGCCAATTGCTCCACTGCTGCTGCTGCTGCTGCTGATCTTCCTCGCCGCCCTCGTCGTGCTGGCCGCCATCGGGGCGCAGGAGGAGACGCTCCACCGCCTTCAGGCGCCGCCGCCTCGCATCGTGGCCCTGACCCTGCCGCCCTTGGCCCCACTACGAGTGTGGCACAGCGCAGTACCGACCACGATGGACCACCTCACCATTTGGATCCTGAGCAGTGGGCTCGCTTGGCGGCGGAGCTCGAGATGGCCCCCACGTTCCCCTCGCAAGAGGTGCCCCCCACGCCCCCTGCCGCCACCCGCAGTGCCCCACACACGCCCTTCGCCCCGTGGGCCGCTGCTGCGGCGGTGGGGGGGCCGCCTCGTCGCAGCGCTGCTGCTGATGGTGCTGCTGCTTGGGCGGAGGAGGAGGGACAAGCCGCACTCACTCGCGCCTTCTATCACGCAGACATTGCTGCCCGTTTCACACAGCTACGAAGTGAATTTGATAACATCCTCTCCACGGCCATCACGAGTTCTGTGCAGCAATCGAATGCTCCGATCCTGGATACCCTCAATACTCTCCAGCGACAGCTCTCGACGCAGCACACGGACATTGACCAGCATGTCATGGTCTCTGTCCGCCCGCAGCTCGACGAGCTCCAGCGCCAGTTTCAGGAGCAGCAGGATGCCCTCAGCCGCCGTGTCGACCACACCGAGCGTGACATCGAGTCACATGCCGCGAAGCTGGCGGACCTCCAACAGCAGATCCAGGCGCTTCGCCAGCAGACTGAGATCGACAAGCAGCTGCCGTCTCGTCCTCCTGCACCCCCTGGCTTCAATAGGGAAATCGACCCCACACAGGTCATTGTCGTCGCAAACAAGCTCGTGGGCATCGCTGGGGTTCGAGACGTTGTTAATAACTTCATGGGCGAGCTCAACTTCTCTGAGGGCGGCACATCTTCGATCAAAGCGCTCACCCCTTTGCCGTCTAAAAAGTTCGCGATCTCATTCTCGGGACCGATGGGCCTCGCCTCCTCGCCGCGTTCAGAAAGCATTGGGCAACCTCAAAGTGCATGGGTCCTGGCGTGAATTTCACTGCCCTGTCCAGGGTGCGGAGGCTGCGCGGATGCACTTTGGTCCAGGCAAATCCCCGAAGCAAGTTCGTGGTGAGATGCAGCTCAGGAAGGTCCGCTCCTCGCTCTTGGAGGCTGACCCACAGGGGCGGTGGTTTGTCGACCGCGAGCGAGGGGTCCTCAAGTCAGACTACACGGACGCCCTCCGCCCCATCCCTCGCCCTGGAGATGAGCCCCCAGAGATCTCGTGGAACGACGTGGGTATTCGTGCTCTCGGGCTGGACAAGCGCGAGCTCCAAAGTGCCATCCGCTGTGTCACTTCTGCCCCAACGGCTACGCAGTGGTGACTATAGCAAAATTACGGAGATGTTTGTGCTTCCAGTGGGGCAGGTCGGCGGAATGATCACAGCCAGCCTCCAATTCTTGACGTGGAATGCACGTGCCTTCCATCGAGCTGGCGGTGCGAAGGCCCCGTCTAAATTGAAGTATTTGCAACGTCTGCAACCTGGACGTGCTATCATTGCTCTCCAGGAAGTACATGCTGATCGTATCGAGCTGAATGACTTTATCGCCAGGGTTTTCGCCACCGCCGTCGTCCATAGCAGTTTCTGCGAAGATGATGATGGTGATCTGGTCGGTGGCGCTGGAGGGGTTGCTGTCATTCTACCACCTCTCTCTTCTTCGACTGTCAGTTGTTGTGCGATGCCTCTCATCAGAGGAAGGGTGCTGCGTGTGGACGTGGTACTCGGGACGACACAGCTGGTGATATCTAATGTGCACAACCACGGCTTGACCAAGGGTGGTGTACAACTCGTCTGTGAGCAGATCCGTTGTGCGCTGCGTCTTGCCGCTGATAATCCCATGTCGTACTTTGTGGTCGTGTTGGGTGACCTCAATTACAGCTACGACTCTTCTCTCATCTTTCACCGTCCGAGTGGCGCGCAGCCGCAACATTGTCACGATCACAAGGTACACGCACCACTTTGGGCCGCTACCTTGGGTAGGATGATGGAAGTGAGCTCCGAAGCTGCGACCCACTTCTGCAAGTTCACCAACTCCGTCAACAGCATCGACCGCTTCTTCTGCTCGGCCACAGGTTGGACGATGTGCCAACTTATGACTGACGTCACCACGGCCGACAGTCCCGAGCTCCTCAGCTCCAAGGGCGTCTCCGACCATGCTGCTCTTTCCGTTCGTCTTCGGTTTCGCGGTACCAGGCCGGCCGCAGAAAGGCCGATCCCGAAGCACATCTTCACCTCCGTGCCGTTCCAGCGTCGGCTCCAGGGCGCGCTTGCTGACGGGGAGGACGACTTGCTGCAGTGGAGCCCACCTATCGCCGCTGAGCATTACAAATACATGATGAAAGAGGCCGCACGAGAGGCTCGCGACATCCTCTTCCTCACCGCTCCCGATCTTCCTGGTGCGCTGCAGCTGGTGGCGCGTGGGATTGCCCGAGCAGTCTGGCGGCAGGGCGCAGGTCTCGCCTCCAAGCTCATCGAGACCTCCCAGTACGCCGCCGACGCGCTGGTCATCGAGGGCGCCGAGGTCTCGCTGCGCCACGCCCCGACCTTCGAACAGTGGGCCGATGGGGTTAATCGGCTAGTCTGTGAAAAAGAGATTGCTGCAGCTGCCTCTGCTCAGGCTCCCAAAGGGTCATCGTCGGCATGGAGGCCCAGTTCGGCCACGCTTCTGAGAGCTCTCGAGAGGAAAGCCTCCATTTGGGCACCCTTCTCTGAGCGGCTTGTCCTGTCGGCGATCATCGCACCTGAGGGCCCCGTCACGGACGCCCACGAGCGCACCGCGGCCCTCGAAGCCTACTGGAAACCTGTCTTCTCCAGGAAAGTGCCCCATCCTGACCTGGCCCAGAAGTGCCTCGATAGGTTCCTCACCAAGGCCTCCGACATCGCGATTCAGAGTCCGATGACCCCTATGTTCAGGCATGTCCTTATGCGAGCGCGACGTTCTGCCCCTGGAGTGGATGGCCTACCATATGCGGCCTGGCTTGCGTGCGACTTCGGGGCCCAGCACCTGGCCAGGATGTTCGGCTGGCTCTGCCAGGGCCAATCTCTGTTCGCCTCCGCCAGCGTCACCCTCCAGGCCTTCCCCCCGAAAGGCTCCGATGCAGGTGATCAGCCATCGGGGACTTGCTCTCGTGCTCCCGGCAAAATCCGTGTCTTGGGGTTGAGGAGTACTGACGTCAAAATCCTGAGCTCGGTCATGCATCGGATCCTGGAGCCTGTGGTGCAGGCTGTGGCCCCCGCTTCCCAGCGCGGCTTGGTTCGTGGGCGTAACTTTTGTCACAACGTTTTAGAGCTGGATGTACATGCCCGCCTCGCCCCCCAGCATCCCCTCGCCGTGCGTCGATCACCCATCCTCGTCGGCTTCGATTACGGGCAGGCCTTCCCGAGCCTGTCCCAGTCCTTCCTGCTCCAGCTCTTGGGGTCCTTGGGCCTCCCTGTGGAGATCTTAGCATTTGTTACGTGGATGTGTGCGGCTGTTGATGGGGTGGTTAATCATGTGCGGCAATGCGCGACTATCTTCTGGATCCGTTCGGGCATCATCCAAGGGTGTGGGCTCTCGGGATCTCTGTGCGCCCTCGCCTCCTCCCCGATGCTTGCCGATTTAGAACGCAACGTGGAAAGCCGCTCCCTGGGGATATGTCGTGCGTGTGCGGATGACCTTGGCGCTGTCCTCTATGAGATGGCCTCATTGCGGATTATGGCTCGGTTCCTTGGGGTCATGGAGAAGCTGGCGGGCCTCAAGATTAAGATCAGCAGGTGCACCCTGGTCCCCCTCGTTGCCAACATGACTGACACCTTGAGGACCATGACTAAGACGCAGCTCGCCTCGATCGCTGGGGCTCGGGCTGACTTTACCATCGAGGGTTGGCTCCTTTATCTTGGGGTGATCTTGGGTCCTGATGCCACGGTGGAGCTTAACTGGGACGCCCCCCTCCAGAAAGTCCGATCTCGGGCTCGGATGTTGGGCCGTGGGGTCGCGTCGGTCAGCACCAACTGCATCCTTTATCGCACTCGGGTCTACCCTTGCCTCGCTTATGTTGCCCAGTTCCTCCCCATGCCTGGCTGGTTCTTGCCCGTTGAGCGCGGTGCGCTTTCCCAAATTCTTCGTGCCCCCCCTGGGTCTATTCTCTAACGAGTCGATC